GTGTATCTGTGTCTCTCTCTCCTTTTCTTATAAGGACATTAGTCATACTGGATTAAAGGCCCACACTAAGCGAGTACAGCCTCATCTTGGCTTCTCTAATTACATCTACAATGACCCTATTTCCAAATAAGGTTACACTCTGAGGTACTGGGTGTTAGGACTTCAACCTATCCTTTTGGGGTCACAATTCCACCCATAACAGGAGGCTAGGGTGTGACCTGTTAATCTGCATTTCCAAGTTCTGCAGCTGGTGCTAATGCTGCTACAGGAACTACACTTTGAAAACCACAGGTCAAACAATTAGCAAAACAGGATTACTTGGAACAAAAGTTGGATTGTACCATGGAAGTAACTGTTCCACTTCCCAAATGTGCAGAATTCCATGTTTAGGCATACTTGGGAGATGGTCATCCAGCCATTGCATGAATACTTCCAAAGACAGAGTTCCCATTACTAGCAGTGCAGCTTTCTTGATGGCTATGCTCTTGAAATTTGTGCCCTTTGAACTTTCCGAATATCTGATACATCTAGCTGATGTATGGCAGCAGAAAGTCTCGATATTTTTTTCTGGTGGCTGCACAAAGTCTCAATATTGAATTTTACATTTCCTCTTTGTGACAGTTCTCCAAATCCTTTAGATCCTGGTTTGCTCTGAAAGGCACACTTGTTGAGGTTTTCAGGGGTGATAATCATGTCCCCCCACCCCCGGTTATGAGTTAATTAGAAACAGATATAGGAATCCAACAGATGAAGATCAAAAGATCAATTATATTTCCAGTACTCATAGATTGGAGAGTAGAAGGTGGACCTTGACCACAATCAGCCTTCCTATGAACCCCCACTTCATTGAATTTATGTGACAGAGTCACATACAAAGAAGCAGGACAATTGACTCCACACCACTGTGCAAGGTTTTAAGGGTATGAGTTACAGCTATTGCCACATAAAGAAATGTAACAGCACTAGATCAGGTTTTCCTGGAAGAGAGAAAGAAAAGATGTCTACCTTCTCTTCCATCAAATCCACCCATCCCAGGAGACCTCCTTCTCCCAGGGTTGCCTCCTTAGCATCCTTCCCACCATTTTCCTTTTTTCAAACAGAACCCTAATGTTATCTACAAAAGCCCCACCGCAACCCCTTTCATGGTGCCCAAGTGTCTCAGGAAGCCAGCACTATCCTCAACTGAAGCCAATCCTATTAACTCTAATCTCCTTGCAAGTGATTGGTTTCAGAATTTAGGCTTCAGTCAATCAGTGCATGGCATGACTCCTAGAGATTGCTATTGGATGAGAGATGGACTAGTGATACAGACGAGCCTAATCAGACTACTTTTGTTCAAAGGTAGGAGGAAAGATTTTTTTTTTTTTTTTTTTTTTTTTTGACAGGAGTCTCACTCTATTGTCCACGCTGGTGTGCAATGGCGTGATCTCAGCTCACCACAACCTCTACCTCCCAGGTTCAAGCGATTCTCCTGCCTCAGCCTCCCAAGTAGCTGGGATTACAGACATGCACCACGACGCCTGGCTAATGTTTTTGTGTTTTTTTTTTTTTAAAGTAGAGACAGGGTTTCACCATGTTGGCCAGGCTGGTCTTGAACTCCTGACCTTAGATGGTCCGCCCACCTCAGCCTCCCAAAGTGCTGGGATTACAGGCGTGAACCACCACACCTGGCCTGGAAAGAATTTTCTAATCAGGAAGCATGCTGTTCCAGGAGCTGACGGCAGTCACCAGGAGGAAGCAACCTGAAGAAAACGCCCCTATCTGGAAGACCAAGGAGCTCAAAGAACAGCAAAGCAATAAATCCCCAGCCCCAATTATGACACTTGTTCTACCTTTGGCTTTTGTTGTTGTTATTTAAAATAATACTAATTTTTTTAATTGTTTAAGCTGGTTATGTCAATGTCTCTGTCATTTCCAGCTAAACTAATTTCTACCAATACAATACTCAAATATTTTTTCTATGATTTAGTAGAAATTGCCTCATGGGACTGAGCACGGTGGCTCACACCTATAATTCCAGCATTTTGGGAGGTTGAGGTGGGCAGATCACCTCAGGTAACGAGTTCAAGACCAGCCTGGCCAACATGACGAAACCCTGTCTCTACTAAAAATACAAAAATTAGCCAGACGTGGTGGCACAAACTTGTAATCCCAGCTACTTGGGAGGCTGAGGCATGAGAATGGCTTGAACCAGGGAGGCGGAGGTTGCAGTGAGCAGAGATGCGCCACTGCACTCCAGCCTGGGCTACAGAGCAAGACCCTGTCACACACGCACGCGCGCACACACACACACACACACAAAGGAAAAGAAATTGCCTCATGGAAAGCTGAAGAAATAGGACGAGGTTTCCACCCACCAATCCTCCAACTTAATTCATTAATGTTGCTCTTAAAGTATGTGCCCCTAAATGGTCAGATTACTCCAGACATTGTGGTACCATTAACTCCCACCCAGCACAGTGCCTGCCATGGAATACATGCTAAACAAGTATTTGTTGAACAAATGCAACTGGAGGCTACACTAACATTTTTAGCGGATGCATAATAATTATATCAGTTCAGGTGAACTAAAAATCCCTAGAAAATTGTAATACAATTTTTTTTTTTTTTTTTTGAGACAGACTCTCGCTCTGTCGCCCAGGCTGGAGTGCAGTGGCGCGATCTCGGCTCACTGCAAGCTCCGCCTCCTGGGTTCACGCCCATCTCCTGCCTCAGACTCCCGAGTAGCTGGGACTACAGGCGCCCGCCACCACGCCAGCTAATTTTTCGTATTTTTAGTAGAGACGGGTTTCACTATGTTAGCCAGGTTGGTCTCGATCTGCTGACCTCGTGATCCACCCGCGTCGGCCTCCCAAAGTGCTGGGATTACAGGCCTGAGCCACCGTGCCAGGCCGTTTTTTGTTGTTGTTGTTGTTGTTTTTGAGATGGAGTTTCACTCTTGTTGCCCAGGCTGGAGTACAGTGGTGTGATCTCGGCTCACTGCAACCTCTACCCCCTAGGGGTCAAGCGATTCTTCTGCCTCAGCCTCCCAAGTAGCTGGGATTATAGGCACGTGCCACGACGCCCAGCTAATTTTTGTATTTTTAGTAGAGATGGGGTTTCGCCATGTTGGCCAGGCTGGTCTCGAACTCCTGAGCCCAAAGGATCTGCCTGCCTCGGCCTCTCAATGTACTGGGATTACAGGCGTGAGCCACCGTGCCCGGCCATATTTTAATATAAATTGATGCCATCGCTGTTGTTCTTCACTCTGTATCTGAGCAATTGCATAGTGTATGAAGTTTTCCTTTAAAATTTTCTTTTAACCGAAATAATTGAGTTTAGGAGACTCCAGCATAGGTTGCACTCAGCTGAGGTGATTTTTTTTTTTTTTTTTTTTTTTTTGAGATGAGTTCTTGCTGTGTTGTTCAGGCTGATCCCAAATGCCTGGGCTTAAGCAATCCACCCACCTCCTCCCAAAGTGCTAGGATTACAAGCATGAGCCACTGCGCCCGGGCAGGTGAGGTGATTTTTAATTTTCCATCATTTGTCATGTCAGTTATTCTTCCTATTCTGGTAAGAACCTCAAAAAAGCTACACATTCCTTCTGTGCCTTCATATGCATCAAATAGCAAAATGTTGACTGTAACAGCACAAGCGGAAAGAACTCTAGGTTACCCTATTGTTTGCTAAAAGAAATCACTCTGTTCCCCTCTATGCATTCCTAACTTGATCCATGAAATAAGACCTTCTGCCCTTGCAGAAATGTCAGGATCATAACTTCTACTGCTTCTAGTTCACTCCTTCTACCTCCAACCATGCTTGATGGTTGGTGAATTTTGGAGAAGGAACTGGAGCTGCCTCAACAAGCCCTCTCCGAATTCTTTGAAGTTGCCTCTGTGCAGGACACCTACATTCCCGTCTTCCACCAATCACTGAGCTGCCCCTGAATGGGAGGTTCAGCTGTGCCTATGACTGGAGAGGGATGTTTAACTGTGTCAGGCCTGGAATATTAGCAAGGATTAAGGGCCAGGTTGTGGACACACAACAAGCCACTTTCTCTTATCAGTTTAATCAAAAGCAGAGGTGAGGGGTTTTTTTCCCCCAATCTGGTTGACACCTGTGTTTACTTATTCATCGCTTCAGAACTTAGATGGGTAAGAGCAACTTGTTATTAATGGACTGTTCCCAAAGCTCAATCTTAACACTCAAGATTGATTGTTCAACAGCTTAAAATCTATCAAAACATATTATTATTGAGGCCTTCAACCAATTCCAGGAAAAGTAAGTCTGTCATAATCCCCTAACCTGACAACTTAATAGTCCAAACTAAAAAAAGGAAAGGTAATGTTTGGTTCATTTTGGTTCAAAAGTATGACTTATTTTGAGCAAACTGATCATAATATGCAGTGATTATTATGTTCCTTTTAAAACTTTTTTTTTTTTTTTTGACAGAGTCTCAGTCTGTCACCCAGGCTGGAGTGCAGTGATAGGATCTCGGCTCACTGCAAGATCCGCCTCCTGGGTTCACACCATTCTCCTGCCTCAGCCTCCCAAGTAGCTGGGACTTCAGGCCCCCGCCAGCACGTCCAGCTAATTTTTTGTATTTTTGGTAGAGATGGGGTTTCACCATGTTAGCCAGGATGGTCTCAATCTCCTGACCTCGTGATCCGCCTGCCTCGGCCTCCCAAAGTGCTGGGATTACAGGCGTGAGCCACCGCGCCCAGCCTAAAACTTTTAAAAAGTTATAAATTAACTGTTAATTAGTAAAATCTAGATGAGTATTAAAAAGAATTGGGGGCCAGGCACAGTGGCTCACTGCCTGTAATCCCAGCACTTTGGGTAGATCACTTGAACCCAGGGGCTCAAGACCAGCCTAAGCAACATGACAAAACCCTGTCTCTACAAAAAATGTAAAATAATTAGCCGGGTGTGGTTGCACACTTGTAGTCCCAGTTACTCAGAAGGCTGAGGTGGGAGGATCCCTTGAGCCCAGGAGGTTGAGGCTGCAGAGAGCTATGATTATACCACTGCACTCCAGCCTTGGCAACAGAGTGAGATCCTGTCTCCAAAAAAATAAAAATAAAAAATAAAAATAAAATAAAGAATAAAGAACTGGCCTCAAACCTCAAACTTACACATTTGTACTTTCTGTGATTCCCACTTTTTCTCCTTTCTGAAAATCAGACTACTTACCCATTTCTTGTCTTTGGAAACCACTCCCATGAGCCACACTTCCTCTGAGATTGCCCATTGTAGTAGTTATATGGTACCTGAATTTCCTTCAGAACCATGGAGTGTAATTCTCAAGGTCTAGACACTGGAACTCATAAAAACCACCAGGTGAAATCTTGTCTGTCTTGGGCAAACTAAAACAAACTATGGCAACTGTCATGCGTAGTTTTCAACTATGAATAGACTCAGAAATACGTGGTAGGTAGTAATTTGTTATTTTGCTGAGGCATTGGACTCTGGCCCACTGTCATAATTGTAAGTGACATAAGCATGCCTAGCTGAGCCCAGCTAAATGTCTAACATGCCCGTCTCAACTGTGTGCTTCGTATTCTTACTCTTTTCTCTTCACAGTGATTATGTCTTTTCTGTCTGTATGAAAATGATGCTGAACAGCCAGGTGCAGTGGCTCATGCCTGTAATCCCAGCACTTTGGAAGGCCAAGGCAGGTAGATCACCTGAGGTAAGGAGTTTGAGACCAGCCTGGCCAACATGATGAAACCCCGTCTCTACTAAAAGTACAAAAATTAGCCGGGTGTGGTGGCGCGTGCCTGTAATCTCAGCTACTCAGGAGGCTGAGGCAGGAGAATCACTTGAACTCGGGAGGTGGAGGTTGCTGTGAGCCGAGATCGTGCCACTGCACTCCAGCCTGGGTGGCAGAGCAAGACTTTGTCTCAAAAAAGAAAAAAAAGAAAAAGTTACACTAGAAATCCTAGGAGAAAAGGAAAGGATGCTTTAGAGGAAAGAGAAAAAGAAGAGTTAGAATTTGATGGGTCCATGACGCCCCTCGGCAGAAGCAGCAGCAAGACTGTAGCAGGTGTGGTTTCCAGCCTCACTGAATCCTTCTGACAAAGAGAGAGCATCAAGCTACTATGGACCATGTGGAATGAACGAGAAGAATAACAGAAAAAGCCATATGACCCAAAGATTAGATACATTGGTACAGATTGCTAAATTTTATCAATAGATATTTCTCTTCACTGGGCACACAGTTAAATTCTATTTCTCTGCCAGCCTCCTTGTATCAACTTACAGCTAAGTGGTTGAGTCTGACTGATTGAATGTGGGCTAAAGTAATATACCACTTTAGGGCCTGATTTGTAAATATATCCTCATGATCTCTCTATCTCTACCTCTAATTCCTTTCCAGTCAGAGTGGCAGGAAGCAAATGATTTCAAAGCCCAGATGATGACAGAGCCCCATCGTGGAAGGGGCTTGGATCCCTGAGTCACTGCTTGGAGAAGAGCTGCCTGGGATGACTTCCTGATCATGAACATCCACATTGGACTTTGAGCAAGGAATAAACATCCTATCTTAAGACAATGTGATTTGGAGTTTTTGGCATATGACCAGCTTCAATTACCCTGCATAATGTACACGTTTTTTCCCTCTTTCCCAGGTAACTCACATGCCTCCCAGATGTTTATATTTGGAAGGAGGGAAGAAGACCCAAATAATAACTGAGATCAAATTTCTCACCAACTCATTGGGACTCTGAGAGATGCATTTCATTTGATTTAAAGAAAATAAATTACTTTGAAACTAGATTTGACATTATTCCTCCATCTGTATTACTTTTGATTTATGGGCAAGACATAAACTGAGTAATTCTGGCCTGACAGACAAGGTTCCCCAACACGTACCTAATGGTGGTCCCTCCCACCCAGATAAGTATTGGCTTCTTGACCTTTCACTCCCATCCTGTTACTGTCAGACCTGCTCAGCCCTTCCTCAGTATGGTCAGGAGTCTTGAAGGCCTGGAGAGCAAAGAGTTAAGTCCTTCTTTCAGGTCTTTTTCTCCTGCAGTCGATTAATTAGATTGAAATTTCAACTTCAAACTGCTCTGCTGATCTCTAGCTAATGCTGTCACCTGAAATACTGCCCACCACACATGAGCTTTTGACAGCAAGAGCCGCTCAAAAGCCTCTTCATGCCTCTATTCCAGGAATAACCCAAGGAAAGGGTAGATATCTGTGAAAGCTGAGTACTGAAGCCCTCTCTGTCCACCGCTTCAAAAGAATAACTACCATCGGTCTGCCTTTATTTTGTATTTTAGTTCCTCTTTGTCAATGAAAAGTTCCTGCTCTCTATTCATTATAAAGAATAAAGAGCTTTTCAAGTGTGAGTTGCTAAACCCAGAAGGGAACAGAGCTATTTTTAAGAGGGTTTCAACTCTGAGCTGTTACATCGACCAGCCTGCCGGCAGCGGAGGTCTTCCAGGGAGGCTGAAGGCAAGAGCGGCTTCTCTTCAGGTGGGCATCTCAGGGAGGAAGCTCCTGGGGCTGAAATGGTCTAGCTCTTTGGCCCACAGGCAGCCCTGGTGCCTTCGAACCTGGCTCCTCAAGACAGAGCTTGCAAGGGGGTCAGGGGAGTCACTGTGATTCTCACCCATTTGAGGTCTGCCTGCTGCCTTGGGTTTCTCACATCCACTTCCTCCATGCAAGAAACAATCTGCTTGATTCTCCTCCGGGGGCACAGGGAGGAGGGGGGTGTCTTTATGTCCTCTCCTATCTTCGTCAAGCCATATGCAACTGGCAGCCAGCACGCTTCTCTCTGTGGGAAGAGGATCATCAGAGCTGGATTCCTGACTGAAAGGAGGAACATGCAGAGTTGCCTGCCTCCTGGCCAACAGGAGTGAAATCCTCTTGGCTTGGGTCTGTCCAGAGCTCTTCTGAAGTCCATACACTGTAGGGGCATGGATGGGCTCTCAGATTCAGAGTTAGAGGACCTGGATTCAAGTCTCACCTCTCTGAGCCTCTGTTCTCCGAGGCTACAATGAGGATAATGGTACTTTGCTATCAGAGGTGCTGCAGGGAGGATGACCCATCCTCACATGTGTATGGATAGTCTGTGGACCCTGCAGTGTCATGCGTGGTGATCACTGCTCTGAGGGTCAGTGAGATACGTGTTATAGTGTCTTTTAAGGACAGAAAATGATGCCATTGGATGACAGAGGAGATACTGAAAATTTGATAGAAACAACTAATGATTTGGAGGAATGAGAGTCTGTTTTCTATCCTCCCATTCCATTCAGTTCCCCCACCAGAGAAAAGGGGCAGGGAATTAAAACGATTGCTTTGCTCTAATAGCTTTTGGAAGTTAAAGATGGGCATATGTACTAAAATGCTAAGAGAGAACCAAAAGGATCAACTAATTTTTTACAGAGTGGCTAAAGATAATAGAGAAACCTACATGATTATATTGCATCTTGTACTACAGAGGATTTATGAGAGCTTATAATAAATTTTAAAATTGTTATTATTTATTTATTTTTATGTTTTTAATTGATATATAATAGATGCACATATTTCAGGGGTACATGTGATCATTTGATGCATTCCTGTAATCACATCAGGATAATTAGAATATCAATCACCTTAACTATTATTCTTTATGCTAGGAACATCCTAATTATTCTCTTCTATCTGTTTTGAAATATACAAGAGATTAATGTTAACTATAGTCACCCTACTGATCTACAAAATACCAAGTCTTATTTCTTTTATTGTACTGTGTATTTGTATCCTTTAATTACCCTGTCTTTATCACCCCACCCCTCTATCTTTCCTGGCCTCTGGTAATCACCAATCTACTTTGCATCTTCACGAGATCTACCAGTAAGTTGTTTTTTTTTTTAAGGAAAACTTATAGACATAAAAATGTAGGCAAAATAGGATGATTAGATCCAAGAGAAAAGATACTGCACATATAAACAGGTGACAAGGATCTACTGTTACAAAAACAGGGCAGCCAAGTAGTCTCTGAGCTTCCAGGAGGCCAAAGCAAAAAGGGAAATATGATCTGTCACCGAATTTATATCTTTCTTGAGGAACTCCTTCACCACAACCAATTTCTCATCCTTTTTTATCATAAGACTTATAAACGTGGATATTTATCTTCAAGAAGAGAATACTTAGGGAGTTTCATTATGGCCTTCCTCAAGTATTTGATGGGCTTCCAAGTACAAAAAAAAAAAAAAAAAAAAAAAAAAAAAAAAAAGATTGCTTTGGGTAATTCCAGACCACAAAACTAGAATCAATGAGTGTAAGTTAAGGGGAACAGATTTGGGTTAAAAATAAAGAACTTTCTAACAATTAGAGTTGTCCATAAATGGAATGAGCTGTCTGGCAAAGAAGTGAGCTCCCTGTTACTGGAAGTGATCAAACAGAGGCTGGCTAACCATCTGTTAAGGATAAGAAGGATTTGTGCATAATGAGAGAATTATGCAACAACATAATACAAGGCTCTTCATGACAGTTTTATTTATAATGGTAAGGGAGAAAATAGAATCAACCTAAATGTCCAACAAAAGGGGATTAGTTATTTATGGTACTTTCCTATGTTTTTTTTTTATAGATTTTTCAAATATTAAAAGTCAGTACAACAATGACATAGAAAAACGCTGATGATCTATTGCTAAGTGAAAAAGCAGTCTACTAAAATAGCATGCGTACTGTGATACCACTTTGTAAAGAAAATTTTTGTAAACAAATATACATTTTTTTATTTTGTTATTTTTTTCATTTTATAAAGAAATATCAAATTAAAGAAAGTACACACATGAAAACATTAATAGTGATTATGAGTATTATTTGAATTATGGGTGATTTTTCTCCTCAGGGCTTGTCAGAGTTTTCCGAGTTTTCTACTTTAAGCACTTACCATTATGTAATTAGAAAAAAAATTTAACAAAAATCCCAGAAGAACCCTTCATTAGTCATTAGTCTATAGTTTTAACTGGTTGATCCCTGAAGGTTTTCAAATCTAGTATATGATTCTCATTTTATACTTAGGTCATTTTTTTTTCTCTTATAAAATAACTTGTTTTTCAAACAGAACTCAACCAAATATAAATACCTCCCCAACAAATAAATAGTGGCTTAAATTATGAGGCTTAGGTACAATCTAATGCATTTCTGACTGCTAGAGTCATTTTCATCTGAAATCTCTTTTGGAAATATGTTGAATATAAATCTAAAAGTCTGTACAATAGAGTAGAAAGAGATGAGACTTGGAGTCAGACACACTTAGGTCTCAAATTTTGGCTCTGCTACATACCAGCCTTAGTTTCCTCAACTTTAATATGTGATAATAATAACAGCTAAGATTTGTAGAAAATTCAGTGTGTGCCAGGCACTGTTTAAGTGCTTTACATGCAATGGGATCCTCAAAACAATTCTTTGAGGTGAATTCTATTGTTATTTTTAGATGAAAAAATTAAACACAGAGAATTTCAATGTTTTGCCAATTTTATGCAGCTAGAAAGTGATGCAGTAAGAATTCAACCTCAGACACGTTAACCTTAGGATCCCTGGCATTAACCACTATACTATACTGCCTTATAGAATGGTGGAGGGATTCATTAAATTAACATACATGAAGTGCCTGCTTAACAGAAATGTGGGCAGTCAGTACATTAGTTTTCTCCCTAAACTTTTCCATGGCTATTTGGCCCCAGGAAGACTTTTGATTACCTTCCCCAAGGCTATATATATTCCACCAATACACTGGGGGAAGTCTGGCTCTGTGGTAGGTAGTTTTACGACAAATTTATTGTCAATGGTATTCATGTCAAACTCAGGGATATTAGAAATCATGTCCTACAGGCCTCCATTCTGGGGCTGATTCTTTAATATTTCATCAATGATTTACATGGATAGAACAGAAAATAAGCTCCTAGAGCTGACAGATGATAGCATGCTGTTAGCAGATGACACCCATCGTCAGTTAGGAAGGCGAGCATCCAGGACAGGATTAGAATTCCAAATGGTCTGGCAAGATGGGGAAGAGGTGGAGGCAGAAAGAATGAACTTCATTAGCAACTATCATAGAGTAATATGTTTATTAAGAGGGAAAAACAGATTATACCAACATAGCAAGAACAGTGACTAGCAATGAATGATTATTGCTTGAAAGAGTTAATGGTGGAAGTTACTCATAACTGGAAATGAGACAGAAAGTCAAATATGATTCTAGAAAAAGGACCAACAAATAGGAGTATATCGGAGTAAATCAATTTTCCCAATATATACTGTATTTTTAAAAATTCCTTTTTGAGTGCTGTTTTTTTCCTCAATGTTGTTCTGGACATCTTGGAAAAGGCACACAGAAAGCAAAAGAAGTCTTTACAAGTGCAGAATGTAATCTGGGAGGATGGTGAAGTCACCAACATCCTTTAATTGAAGATGAGTCAGTTGCTGGCAATTCATTTGAGAATCATTTACTGAGCACTATCTATGTGCCAGCCTTTGTGCTGGGCGCTGGAGACCAAAAAAAAAAAAAAAAAAAAAGACTTCATTTCTACCCTTGAGGCGCTCCAAGGGAAGAGGATAATCACTTTTAAGTTTATAAAGACTGGTTATTTAGAAAGGGATGAGAACTCTGATGTGTGTCGTTTATGGCCAACTCCTATACATCTCTTTCTTTGATCTCCTCTTTATTCCTTTCTTCCCTACTTTCTCTTGTTTTTTCTTTCCCTTCTTTTATGTAGTCTTTAGATCTGTGATTGGAGCCCCTGGCATGGCAAGTTGGCCAGATGTGTTCAATGGAGTCCCATCTGAGACTATGCCAAGACACCAACACCTTTCTTTTGCGTTTCAAGGTGTTTTTAAAAAAGTAGTTTTTGCCCTCCATATACTCTGATTAAAATGCAGACAATGAAGCAAAACCTGGGGAGAGTAGAGTAGTTTGCTAGGATGCTAAGCAGATCAGTTTGGCTGGAGAAAATGCTAGACTATACATATCAGGAATTGAATCATATTAAGGAATTTGAACTTTATCTTATTAATAATAGAAAGTCAATGAAATTTTGTGAGAAAGGGTTTGTGTTGTTTTGTTTACATTTTCTGTAGAGACAGCACCTCGCTATGTTGTCCAGGCTTTTCCATTTAAGGAGAATATCTTTCAAGTTCTGAGTCACATGCTAGACCCATTGTGAGTGCTTCTCTGACCTCCTATTTCTTGTTTCTCTTCACTTGTGTTGCTTGCTTTGGAATGAAGGTTTGTGAGAAAGGGAGTGACAAGATCAATATAGGGTTTTAGGAAGAGTAACCTTATTGTGGGAGATAGAATGGGTTGTTAGAGGGCAGCCTGGCAGCAAGGGTCCTGTTAGGAAGTGATTACTAAGCTATAAAAAAAATAAGGGCCAGAGTTAGGCAACAGCCGTTAGATGAGGCAGAAGATTTGTGGATGTGAGAAACGCTGTAAAGGAAAAAATTAATAAGATTTGGTGCCCAAGTAAAGATAAGCATTAAAGGAGAAAGGAATTGAAAACAACCTATAGGTACTAGACAAGGACTTTGGAAAATGAAAATGTCATTATCCAAAATAGAGCAGTGGGAATGTGAAGGTGGCTTGTGGCAAATAAATCATGATAGGTTCAGGGCTGGACAGGTTGTCTTTGTTTTGATGGGATATATAAATAAAAGGCATATATCCAACAGGGATCTAGGAATAGATTTCCTAGGAGATCATTCTCACAGAGGTAATAGTGTGTTTTGGGCCTCTCCACCTGTATATCCCACTGACACATCACAGTCTACATGCCTAAAACTGAGCTTTACTGTCATTCAGAAATGCAAAGCTCAATTTGCATTGCTCTTCAAGGTGAATCATGCTTTTAAGTACCCAGGCTACCAAACTCAGAGTTACCTCTTCATCTCCCACCTGCCCCTCTCCCACAAGCAACTAGTCACCAAAACAGTGGATTCTAAGAGTCAAATATGTTGTGTGTCAATTCCTATTGCCATAATTAGTACTGCCATGGTTTGTTCCCTTGGCTATCAAAACAGTTTTTGTGTTATTTTGTTTAAATTTTCTGTAGAGACAGGGTCTCACTTTGTTGCCCGGGCTGGTCTCAAACTCCTGGGTTCAAGTGATCCTCCTGCCTCAGTGTCGCTAAATGCTGGGATAAAAGGTGTGAGCCACTGCACCTGGCCCACACCAGTTTTATAACAGATTTTCTTGCCACATAAGTTTATTTTTCCACTGCTTAGAGAATGTAATTCAAAGTCTTTCTGGAATGAACCTACCTGTCCAACCTAATCCCTGAGAATCTTTATACAGCCCCAACACAAAAGCCCCACCAGCTTCTTCCTTTTCTTTCATGATGCCTGGCATATCTGTGCCTGGGGTGCCTCTATTGATGCTGTTTTATTATTTTGGTATACCTATGTCACTTAAGGAGAATATCTTTCAAGTTCTTGGTCATGTGCTAGACCCTTTGTGAGTGCTTCTCTCACCTCCTATTGCTTGTTTCTCTTCACTTGTGTTGCTTGCTTTGAAAGCAAGAGCCTGAACCAGGGAGGTGGGAATAGACATGGGAAGAAACAAAGGGCATAATAAAAATCTAAGCAAAGAATTGTGGGGCATAGAGAAGGAAGAAGTCAAAGAAAAAACATGTCAGTCTTGGCTGGTCTTGGTTGACTGGGAAGAATTATGGTGTACCAAAACAAACAAAACAAAACAAAAAGAAAGAAAGATTAATTTGGCTCTGAGCAAGTTTGGGATGAGATATTAGCAATGAATGTAAATTGGGCTAACTGATAAGTGAAAAGTTTTACAGAAATGAAAAGGGTGTTTCAAGCCAGAAAATAATATTTGGAAATTATATGCAAAGAGGTGGTACTAGATGTGTGATCTCCGAAGAAGAGCCTATTAGAAGACCAGGTCTGAGGAGAGAGCTATAAGCATGTTATCAATCTCAAAAGTGAGAGGAGGAAGTCCTA